TAAATTCAGTTTTGTTCCACACAGGTCCATTTTCCTGGCAAAATTGGACTCATGCTATAAACTGCTGGATGAATGGGTTGGTGGTGATGAATTTTAGTGGACTAACTGGCACACATGCAACAGTTCCTGATCTGCATAGTTCACAGCAGTACAGTGTCACTCTCAGGGCTTGTTCTCCTGGTGGATGCTCTAAATCAGTCTCATATGAAGGAACAACTCTCCAACCTGGTGATTATATTGATGCATTCTATCATTTACCTTAATGTTTATAAACTGGCCACTATTAAAAAGGTCATCTTTGGGGGGTTTTTTCAGCTGATGAGTCTCCATATATTGCTGCTGCCAGTGAGGATGATATATGGAAGCAAGATTTGGATAGCATTGAATTTGTGGAACAAATGGTGTCTTATATTGGAGATGTGAAAGGTAAGAAACCAGAGAGATCATATATAGAACATAACAGTGCCTCTAAAAGGCATTTATGGTAAGTCAAACATAATTTTTTTTTAATTTCACTGTATTAAATAGAAACATCAGACCAAGAAATTGCATCAGCAAACAAAAAGTGCTAGAATTATTTATTATTATTTGATTAGAACATTGTTTTGGGCATCAATGAGGTTTTATCTGTTTAACAGTTTTTTGATTGAACTGTGATCTCAAAACTTCCGTTAAAGAATATTTGCTGTGATACCTTTTTTTTCTGACAACAAAGGCTGCACATGAGTCTTTGTCGAATACTGTCCATGAAATGAATGCCAGTGGATATTTATATTTGTAACACAAAATTCCATTTTAATGCAGTACATTTGCTTTTACACATGTATGGTGCATCTCAATAAATTAGAATGTCGTGGAAAAGTTCATTTATTTCAGTAATTCAACTCAAATTGTGAAACTCGTGTATTAAATCAATTCAATCCACAGACTGAAGTAGTTTAAGTCTTTGGTTCTTTTAATTATGATGATTTTGGCTCACATTTAACAAAAACCCACCAATTCACTATCTCAACAAATTAGAATACTTCATAAGACCAATAAAAAAAACATTTTTAGAGAATTGTTGGCCTCTGGAAAGTTCATTTGCTCATTTACTGTACATGTACTCAATACTTGGTTGGGCCTCCTTTTGCATGAATTACTGCATCAGTGCGGCGTGGCATGGAGACAATCAGCCTGTGGCACTGCTCAGGTGTAATGGAAGCCCAGGTTGCTTTGATAGCGGCCTTCAGGTCATTTGCATTGTTGGGTCTGGTGTCTCTCATCTTCCTCTTGACAATACCCCATAGATTCTCTATGGGGTTCAGGTCAGGCGAGTTTGCAGGCCAATCAAGCACAGTAACACCATGGTCATTGAACCAGCTTTTGGTACCTTTGGCAGTGTGGGCAGGTGCCAAGTCCTGCTAGAAAATGAAATCAGCATCTCCATAAAGCTTGTCAGCAGAAGGAAGCATGAAGTGCTCTAAAATTTCCTGGTAGATGGCTGAGTTGACTGTGGACTTCAGAAAACACAGTGGACCAACACCAGCAGATGACATGGCAGCCCAAATCATCACAGACTGTGGAAACTTCACACTGGACTTCAAGCTACATGGTTTCTGTGCCTCTCCACTCTTCCTCCAGACTCTGGGACCTTGATTTCCAAATGAAATGCAAAATTTACTTTCATCTGAAAAGAGGACTTTGGTCCACTGTATTTTCTGAAGTCCACAGTCAACGTTTGAGATCTAAATCTATTGTTCTTCATGGTCATGTCTATGTATCCGTCTATTACTTACACACTTGAATGTTATCTTTGGTGGTCTGTTTAAAGGGATAGTTTATCAAAAAATTGTTCCCACCCAAATTGTTCCAAACTTGTTTGAGTTTCTTTCTTCTGCTGCACACAAAAGCAGATATTTTGAAGAATGTGTTAAACATCACTAAATTATTTTTATGCTGCAACATTTGGCCACAGTATAAAGATTGCATTGTATTAAAATTACAGCATCATCAAGCTAATTGTATCTGAATGTTCCCTCAGATCTAACTTCACTTTCTGAGGCACTTTTTGGATTATTTTTTAACCTGTTGGTCCCACACAAGCGTCCAAGCTGAATAACCACAGGTGTAGTTCATTATATTAACAATAAACATGTTCCATAAAGTTTCCATCAAGTCTCTTATGCTCACCAAGGCTGCATTTATGCAATCAAAAAATTCAGTAAAAAGTTATATTGTGAAATATTATTAACAGTTAAAATAACTTTTCCATTTTACTATATTTTAAAATGCAATAATGTTAAAATTATTTTTAAAATGTATTTGAAATAGAAATCTTTTGTAACCTTATAATGTTGTTACTGTCACTTTTTATCAATTTAATGCATCCTTGCTGAATAAAGGTATTCTTCTTTCAAAAAAAACAAAAAAAAACAATTACTGACCACAAGCACTGGAATGTTTTTTTTTTTTTAAATACATTGCACTTGTTTTGATATTTTAGTTATATAATGCAAAAAATAAAAAATAAAGAAAATTTAGAACAATATTTAGAACAGTATTTTGCATCTGATTGCAAATTTTCCAATTCTTCTCACTATAAAACAAGGTATATAGCATGTTCTCCTTTCATGATGAACAGATATGGACTGGTATAGTTCCACAATCTACTGGACTAACAGTTCAGGCCACATTAACCGGATTGAACTGGGTAATCAGTCGTTGAGTGTATGTAATGCTGAAGCGCTGGCCTTTGACTGGCTGGGACAGTATCTATACTGGAGGTGCAACACAAATCTAGTACGTTTTTATATTAAATAATGACTGAAAGACGTAATGAAAAAAGCTACTATTACTTTATTGACATATTTTTTGACTATATGTGGCAGTAGGATGAACTAATTATGAGATATCTTGCATCTCTTATCAGATATGCCCAGGGTCTGGTCATGGGGTTGAGATATTTCTCCAAGCAGAGCAAAAGATTCTCAGTTTAGGGATTGATTCATTGAATGCTGCCATCTACTGGAGCACTGAAACATCAGTAGAAGGCTGTAGAATGGATGGAGAAGACTACCAAATCCTGGATAAACTGAGTGTGTTCTCTAGGAAAGAGGTGAGGACAGAAATACACACATAAAACATCAAATGCAATACCATTTAAAGGTTTGGGGTCTTGGGGTATTTTAAAATGCAACATTCCTGAGATGGCAACGCTAAATTTTCAGTAGCCATTATTTCAAAGTTCCATAGGAAATCATGCTTTTTTGATGCTCAGGACACATTTCTTCTTCTTATTATTATTATTATTATTATGTTGAAAACACTGACCCTTTTTAACAGTAGTGTAAATATTTCACACACTCTAATTGTAGGTTGCTGGTATTACTTTGAATGTGATTGAAGGAAATCTGTATTGGTTGGTGCAGGACGACTCCCTTATAAATCTTTACAGTGTGAACATCATTGGTGACAGGTAGGTACATATACAAATTTTTTAACGGATCGATCTCATTAATGAAGGCTATGGTCATTGACCAATTTGGCTTTTAATAACATTTTCTTATTAAATAAATGTTGTTTTTTAATGATTTGCATAAATTCTATTAATAATATACCTGTAAAGGATGCAGAAGTCTAAAGTGGTAGAATTTGCTAAATGAACCACATCTCAAATCACAGATCATCAAGTGGGCTACTACAGCGGACGATTCATTTGGTTGGATGAGAACAAACGGCTCAGGATTCAGGAGTTGAAGCAAAACACCAGTGTCCTTATGTCTTCCAGCAAAACACTGACTGCTTTTTCTGTAGTACAGCAAATGCTGAAACCTCTTCCAGGTCAGCAGTATGTTAACATATCATGTTTCATATTGCTCTATGTACTTATTAGCAAGTCATAATCACTTTGTGTCTTGTGTTTGTTTTCAGATGGATTTGTATCTCCTCCTATGGTTATTCCACCTGCGGTTTCCAAAGTTGTTCTTGAAGGGAATGACACATACCAGCAGTATTGACTATGGGACAGTGTTTAATTTTGTCGTGTCTAAGGAATTATGGGAAATGTGGAACCGCTTCAAAATGTATTACACCTTTTTTATTATTATTTTAAATTAAATAATGTTAAAGGGATAGTTCACCCAAAAATGAAAATTCTGTCATTAATTACTCACCCTCATGTCGTTCCAAACCCGTAAGACCTTCGTTCATCTTCGGAACACAAATTAAGATATTTTTGATGAATTCTGAGAGCTCTCAGACCCTGCATAGACACAGCAACGCAACTGTAACGTTCCCAGTCCAGAAACGTAGTAAGGACATCGGTAAAACAGTCCATGTGACATCAGTGGCTCAACTTCAGTTTGTCGAAGCTACGAGAATACTTTTTGAGCAAAGAAAACTAAAATAACAATTTTTTTAAACAATTCTTCTCCCTCGAGTTACGTCTTCCGCCATTTTAGAGAGTATCACAATGCATACGCACGCTTTCCCCTAAGCATAAATAACGCTGATTAAGCAGATTATGTTCATGCGCGCGCGCTTTCTCCCCCAAACGTAAACAACGCTGATTACGTCGATTACGCTCTTGGGTACTCTCCAAAATGGTGGAAGACATAACTCGGGGGAGAAGAATTGTCTTGAAAATGTAGAAAGACATTGTCTAGATTGTCTAGAAAATGTCTTGATGATGGATTTGTTTCTTACAGACACGGAGCATTTTACTTTACAAGAAGTTAACTGATATACTGGAGTCGTGGGGATTATTGTGATGTTTTTATCAGCTTTTTGAGCTCTCATTCTGATGGCTCCCATTCACTGCAGAGCATCCATTGGTGAGCAAGTGATGTAAGGCTAAATTTCTCCAAATCTGTTCTAATGAAGTCTATGAACTCATTTATGAACTCATCTACATCTTGGATGGTTGATGGTGAGAACATTTTCCAGCATATTTTCTTTTCTAGCTGAACTATTCCTTTAATTGCTCTCTGGTTGTCACCCAGCAGGTACTTTGTTAGACACTGACATGACATTGATTATTGTGATTGTATCGGTTGCTGCCTGTATTACACTGATTATTCTCATCCTCGCTGCAGTCAGTAAGTACACAAATTACAAAATTCCCTTTTGTAAAATCTATTTCATCCCCATATTAAAATTAATGAGAGGATTTGAAAGCACAACATTTGCTTTGCTTGCTGTTTTGATGTAGTTTGGCACAGACACCATGAGAAAAAAGATCCTGGGACAGTTACACAAACAGATGTGCATGTCCATCCAGATGTGGAATTGGAGTATATTCAAGGTTTATTTGGTCTTGGTAATGCCTGCTATGCTATCAGGTACAACATCGCTTACAAACTAATGCTTCCTTTCAGTGTGATTTTGTTGCATCTATAAACCACAAAATGTGTTGATATTTAAACAACTTTCCCACATTTCCCAGTAACATACCCGCCCAAGGAGATATTGAGTCACTTCCTGTGTTTCCTAAACACTGTCTGAAGCTTCAGAGGTTGTAGGGTAGTGGTGCTTTTGGAGAAGTCTATGAAGGAGTTACAGTTGCCAGCCAAATTAGTGAAGTTGTTCCTGAGAGGAGAGTGGCTGTCAAGGTACACACACACATATATATATATATATATACTGTATATATATATATAATGGGACGAGACCTGGTTGAGCTGCACTAGAGAAGGCAACGAGTGTTATCACTATGTCGGAGACACGCTAGCTTTCCCAAGGCAGATTAACTTAGAGTGGTTACAATCATCCAGGTTTAAATCGCGCTCAAATTGATTTGATTTTGACACAATATTTACACTGAAGCTGGCAGGCTTTGGTAAGGGGCATGACATTTCCCGACCAGGCGCCGAGTGCTGCCAATCACAACACACACTGGCCCAGCTAACCAATTACAGCACATTTCGTATTTCAGAAGGCGGGCCTTCATTTGATACAGGAACTATTCGTGCCATTCATGCCAGACTGGGGAGAGAGGTGTTGTAATAATGTAAAATATGTGAAAAATAATGTGCTTTTCGAACAACCTAGTATGAGAGCCTGTTCTAGTACACCCCCAAAACAAAATCAAGACTTTGTAAAAGAGCATAATAGGACCCCTTTAAGAACTGGTCACTGAAAGATTCTTTGAGGAACCAAAAAGTTATTCTATGGTATCATTGCAAAAACTACAGTGTAACAAGTAGTATACAGTACACATTCCTACAAATATATTTCTTATGATTTGTACATTTTAGGGCATTTGGTGTGCAGTTATGGGAGATTATGACATTAGGAAAGCTACCATATACCAAGAACACCAACCATGAAGTATTAAGCCATATCAGTACATGTGCACGACTGCCTTCACCAGCCGGATGTCCACAGAGATTGTAAGTGATATTAGTAGATGGTTTCAACAATACATGTTATAAATTGATTGAATGTGAAGACAAAGATATAATATTTACTCTTTTTTTGTAGGTATAATCTGATGATGAGCTGCTGGAGCAAAGAACCAACTGAAAGGCCAAACTTCCAGTACCTTGAAGAAACCCTGAGTAAATTGAGAGATTATGAGGCAGATAAAAGAGCAAAGCAGAATGGAACAGGAAGATGGTATGATTTTTATTTCTTTATACATAACAGAATAAATGTTAGGATTTACTCTTATTACATCTGAATCAAATGTACAGATGCACCTCTTATGGTAACAGTATGTGCTGGTTTCTCCAGAAGAGGTCTGCACTGGTGTTGATGGAGATGAAGATCTGGAAACTGGGCTGTGCTCAGCAATGAGGCACTGAATTACTTGATGTATCGCTCTGAGAGCCCGGACAGTGTCAGAACAGACTCATCAACACCCACTGAAGATAAATAATTGCATGGGTTGAAATGACCCCCCAACTTTGCACAAAGACCCGTGAGCTGGCCCTCACTTTGAAATCTTCTTCCTTGTAAATATTGTATAAAAACAATAGTATTTTGATGTATGATGTAGAATGATCAATAAAAAGCTCGATCTTATAAGAAATAGCAATAGTTGTAACGTGTTTAATTGGTTAAATTATGCAAACAGCCAAATGAATGAATTAATAAATTAATGTTGCATTTGTAATGTATAATGTATAGTTGAATGATCAATAAAAAGGTATCAACATTATATAGAACATCTATAGATTTGTATTTTCTGATAGAAATATCAATGCTTGGCATTTTGCAACAGGTTGAATGAATAAATAAATAAATAAATAATGAATCAATGAATGAATCAATGAATGTACTTTTCATAGTATAACAAAAGAAGTAGTATACAGTACACATTCCTACAAATATATTTCTTATGATTTGTACATTTTAGGGCATTTGGTGTGCAGTTATGGGAGATTATGACATTAGGAAAGCTACCATATACCAAGAACACCAACCATGAAGTATTAAGCCATATCAGTACATGTGCACGACTGCCTTCACCAGCCGGATGTCCACAGAGATTGTAAGTGATATTAGTAGATGGTTTCAACAATACATGTTATAAATTGATTGAATGTGAAGACAAAGATATAATATTTACTCTTTTTTTGTAGGTATAATCTGATGATGAGCTGCTGGAGCAAAGAACCAACTGAAAGGCCAAACTTCCAGTACCTTGAAGAAACCCTGAGTAAATTGAGAGATTATGAGGCAGATAAAAGAGCAAAGCAGAATGGAGCAGGAAGATGGTATGATTTTTATTTCTTTATACATAACAGAATAAATGTTAGGATTTACTCTATTACATCTGAATCAAATGTACAGATGCACCTCTTATGGTAACAGTATGTGCTGGTTTCTCCAGAAGAGGTCTGCACTGGTGTTGATGGAGATGAAGATCTGGAAACTGGGCTGTGCTCAGCAATGAGGCACTGAATTACTTGATGTATCGCTCTGAGAGCCCGGACAGTGTCAGAACAGACTCATCAACACCCACTGAAGATAAATAATTGCATGGGTTGAAATGACCCCCCAACTTTGCACAAAGACCCGTGAGCTGGCCCTCACTTTGAAATCTTCTTCCTTGTAAATATTGTATAAAAACAATAGTATTTTGATGTATGATGTAGAATGATCAATAAAAAGCTCGATCTTATAAGAAATAGCAATAGTTGTAACGTGTTTAATTGGTTAAATTATGCAAACAGCCAAATGAATGAATTAATAAATTAATGTTGCATTTGTAATGTATAATGTATAGTTGAATGATCAATAAAAAGGTATCAACATTATATAGAACATCTATAGATTTGTATTTTCTGATAGAAATATCAATGCTTGGCATTTTGCAACAGGTTGAATGAATAAATAAATAAATAAATAATGAATCAATGAATGAATCAATGAATGTACTTTTCATAGTATAACAAAAGGACAAACATTTTAATTGAAATAAATTATTTTAAAGGGGTCATATGATGCGATTTCAAGTTTTCCTTTCTCTTTGGAGTGTTACAACCTGTTCGTGAATAGATAAGATCCCTGAAGTTGCAAAGACTAAAGTCTCAAAACCAAAGAGATATTCTTTATCAAAGTTAAGACTCTGCCACGCCCCCCTAAAACGGCTCGTTCTAACACGCCCCCACATATCTACCTCACTATGTGGAAATATTAGCATAATGCCGCCCAAATGTTCATGCAAAGAAAGAAGGCGTGGTTTCAGTAACCGCAGTTAGTGTTGAAGCAGCCATGTCAGAGAGACGCTGTGTGTTTCTAGGCGAAAGCAAAAGCACTTTATTTGGCCTTCCGAAAGTAGATGCATTTAGGAATCTTTAAGATCATTTACAACAGAACAGCAATGCATTTTATGGACGACCGTTTCGTGAACCTAGGAGAGGAGGTAATTCTGACTTTGCTATGACAATGTGGCGCTTCTGAATCAGCTACTGTTTTGTTATTAGTTTAATTTTAGATTTAAATGTGTTACTGGAGTTTGATTGACAGGCGATCTGACCAATCATAAGGCTGAAACTGCCTTTTTGTCTAGCAAACGAACCAGACAAATTTCGGTGGGCTTGAAACTTGAAAAATGGTGTGTATTGACGTCTTTCGGCGGTTGAAACAAGATACCTTCTGGTGTTCATTCATGTTTATTTTGTGCTATAACTAGTAAAGGGAAGAGATGATCGGTTCAGGTGCTACAGTGATCTGTCACGACACATTAAAGAGCCACAAAACGGTATTTATCGTTAGAATTTCTTTAAAAAATTACAAAATTTGAAAGCTGAGACTTAGAAGTAACCTGCTCTGACTTGTCTGTCTGCACATTGTCAGTGTCCTCTTTGCTCCGAGATGTATTTTTCACATAGACTGTGATTTTTCATGGCTTGTCGGACGTAGCAACGGTAACTAAGGGGGTATATGCTGTTTTTTTTTTCTCTATCCTATGGGCATTGGCAGTTTCTACCAACTTTGATCTGTTTACCACTAAATATTGTGTTTTTTAATGTCAACAGATTAGCATTTAATTACACTAATTCTAAAAACTGCATTGTGCTCGTTGACTGAATCTGATATCCCATGACACCGCCCCTTCCCGACGTATGGCGCTCTCGTGTCACGTGACCGCTCCGGGTGGAAGCATGGCGTGCTTGAGTGCGGAGCTCCTCCACGAACTCTACTTTATTTGCACTTAATTCGTCTTTATATTCAATCCATCAAAGGGGACGTGAACGCATTGAAAGCTGGAATACCGCTCGCAGCATGGACGAAGGGAATAAACTCCAGTTCCCGTCCCTGCCCGCTGCCACAGAAGAGCAGCTGGTATGATCTAAACATATTAGCGCAGTGCTAACAACACTCACTCTTCAATCTGTCTGTTTCAAAGCAGTACTAGTTTGACTAGTGTGTGTAAATGCATTAATAAATACAGCGGTTTGTGCTGATATATTTAATATAGTATAATTCTTAACTAACTCGTTGCTGTGAGCAGCTAGCTTGTGCATCCAGTGGCTGTGTACTAGAATAACAACAATTCAGAATTCACAGTCATGCATTTCTCAATACAAATGACAACAATCACAGTCAGGAAAAGTAGTATTTATTATGATAGTGGGATTAATATGTGAATAATCTGATCATTTCAATTCATAACCGACTTTAGTTGCTTTAATTAAAGCTTTTAGACTTATTAGCTAACAAATCATTCGTCCCTAACCTTCTTTACGATACTAATATTGAGTATAGTCAACAACAACACAAATATTTTAATCCGTTTAATTGATAATATACCTTTACCCCTAAGACTTTTCACTTAAAGGAATAGTTCACCCAAAATTGAAATCATCCAAGATGAGTTTCTTTCTTAATCAGAAGTGATTTGGAAGGTGAATGGGTGCCGTCGGAATAAGAGTCTAAACAGCTGATAAAAACATCACAATAATCCACAAGTAATCACATGACTCCAGTTTGACAAGTCCATTACTTTCATGCTTTGTTTTGGTCTAACAACTTGAACACTAATATATTATTAAAAAATAAATAAATGTCTGTCAAACGGATTATTGGTCTCGATCATATGTAGGGAGATGCTGATAATAACAAGGAGTGTTATTCCTGTGT